TATATATATATTGTTTCGAATTTATATCTAGTTAGGATAAATGAATGTAGTTTCATGTTATAAATTGAAGAGTAGTTTAGATTTTTTTTGATTTTTTTTATTTTTTTTTGGTGGTTACAAGGTTGGTCAAATTGATCAACCTTGTATAGAGTTAGAATAGAGAAAATAACAGATAAAATATATAGTTTTACTGAAAACAAACATTTGAAATGTATTTTGGAGGTTTTCGAGATTACGGAAATGAAATTTGAGATTTTTGAGACAAAGAAAAGTATTTTGAGTCTTAACATAAAAATCACTTTGCACGCGAACTAGTCAGAAAAATACTATATTCACTGACAAATTTTTTTTAGTTTATTAAAAATACTTCACTAAAAATGTGATTTGTTATATGTGAAAGACCTATAATGTTTACTGAAAGTCTGCCAAATTTTGTGAAGGTATACTTACTACATTAAAAGTTAGTAGTATCAAAACTATAAAGAGTTTAAACAAGTACAAGTAGGTCATGTGGTCAGTCAAATCGACTGAGCCCGTGTTGAGAGAGTTAATAATTCTCAGGATTAGTTATGATACATAATCTTTTACCCATTCTTTTTTGTGTAAAACAGCATATTTGGTCAGAACAATAATTTTGTGTCAAAATATTGTTTTCATTCAATGTAAGCTAGTTTTATAAATGTATAAAAGCCTTCTCAACACTGTATAAATATTTTGGTTATTTAGATATGTGGGTTGCAGAGATAAAATACATAAAAAAATGTAAATATGGGGCCATAGAACTACTATTTGGAGAGTATAGAAATACACATTATGCAGACAATCTGGACAGTACTAATACGCAAGTCATGAGAATGTAATTGGAACACTAAATGTATGGGCCACAAGGATAGCATTTGTTAAAGATAGGACTTTTGATTTGGATAGTATAAACAAGTCAGTTCTATAAAAAGGATTTAGAAGGCAGAGATGCATAAGTTATAGGATTAGAATTTGAAAAGCATAGACTTAACATTTAAGATTAAGATTTGGACGTAATGTTGATCTGAGAATTTTAACAGTATTCATTTAGGAAGTCTTAGGGATTACACAAATGAATTTAAAAATTTTCAAATGAAGAAAAGTATTTTTAATCTTAACATAAAAATTACTTTGCACTTGGAACAGCCAACACTGACTCTATAAAATTATCTACAAAGTTTTGTAAAAATAGTTTATTAAAAATTCTGATGTTTTGTCTACAAAAGTTTTTTTATGTTTACTGAAAGCCTGCCAAATTTTATGAAGATACATTAAGTGCTTTCAGAGATATATTTTATGTACCCTCATGGTTACAAGGTTGTGTAAAATGCACGAGCCTGTTGCAATAGGGTTAAATCATATTAACTTGAGTGTGATTCCATTTGTGTATCATTTTAATTTCACAGAATCTAAAACAATTGCTTCCTTTATTAGCCCCATATTTTCTTTGCATTTTTTTAGTACTATAATATAAAACTCGCTTGTAGAACTCTTTCAGTGCTAACAGATTTTCTTTTTGTGCTTTATAACCTGAGCCATTTACATTTTTCATTATTGTTATCCTTAATGGTGTTTTATAGTATGTTTATAAGAATTTTAAGATTGACATCAAGTAATTTTTCTTGTAGGTGAGCAGTAAAGATGAAGATTTTTTAGATCTTTCTGTCGATGTTGACCAAAATACATCAATTACCCACTGTCTCCGAGGCTTCAGCAATACAGAAACACTATGCAGTGAACACAAGTATTACTGTGAAAATTGCTGCAGCAAACAAGAGGCTCAGAAAAGGTGTGTTCAAATTGTTATCAAGAGCATTTTGATATTACACATTGTGTTGTATTTTACATGGCAATGAATATATATTGTTACATATCTGCTCGTTTGTTAATTTCCAGTATAAATTCTTTCCAAGGAACTTCAAC